CCAATCAGTTGCTTCTGTGAGATAGTAAACACAAACAATTGCCTTAAGAGAAGATCCTTTTATTTAGGAGAAAAGAAGGTAAATAAAGAGTTTGAACAATAAAGTCCATTCTCGATCAACAAGAACACTTTGTTTCACTCTGTTTGCCAGTGTTCTTATAAAAACTGCTGTTAGGAGCAGTTAGCCAAAGTAGCTTAGCTCTTTCCTGTGGCTTTTGTCTCATCCTGAACATCAGCACTGTGGTTGTTAACACTGGCTACTAAGAACAAGAACGTCTCACATGGTTTTTGCATACAAGTACTATCAGTCCAGACCAGACAGCGCCTGAAAGTCCCCAGTGATTTTAAACAAGAAGTTGCAAAAAAAATTCTGGAGCATGTGTTTCTGAGTTGCTGTTAGTTCCATGGGTTGGTTGGATTTTGTGTGGTTGGTTGGTTTGGCTTCGTTTCTGGGGGTGTTTCTTTTCTTCTTGTTAGAATTAGTTTTCCATTTTCCCATAGGAGGAAAATGTTTCTATTTGTTCTTAAAGGCTGTGTGTCCTTAAAAAGGATCAATTTTTTTCCACATATATTTTTTCCTGCTAGTAGACAAAACAGTGCACTAAAGTTCTTTAATATTCCTTACTTCAAAAGTCTGGCTGCATATGATAGTTTTCCAGCTGAAGAAAATGCATAGTATGTAATGTTTCCCCCAGAGATCTATCATGAATGATATGACAAAAAAAAAATCATTCCCAGGCATACAAATTTGTTCCATTTTCTTTTGTTAGATGTTCCCATGTAAGGGGAGGGAAGAGGGGATAAATAAATTGATGGGTGGATGCAGACTAAGCTATTGGCTTTTAATTTCATAGAAATGTGGCCAGGCAATGGTGGCGCAAGCCTTTAATCCCAGCACTTGGGAGGCAGAGGCAGGCAGATTTCTGAGTTCGAGGCCAGCCTGGTCTGCAGAGTGAGTTCCAGGACTACACAGATAAACCCTGTCTCAAAAAACCAAAAAAAAAAAAAAAAAAAAAAA